TCTTTCGAATGAGGGGTATATGTATGGGGCCCCTCCTTATCTATAGCGGAGAACCAGAATCTCGCATTCTGATTGGTCAATAAAATGGACCAACAAGATTCCAGGAGGAGTTTTCTTGCTTATTATGAGGACAACGCATAGTCATGTTCGGGCGGTCGTGTGAATTATGCCAAACACGCTGACGAAAAAATTGTGGTTCACTTCATACCGCAAAAATGGACCAATGAAACTGCGATCGGTTACTTTACCGTCATCCAACCATTTTTCCAAAACAGAAAAATAATACTCACAACCCGGAGGTGTCATTTCCAACACAGAACAACGGTACTCACAACCCGGAAGTGCTATTCCCGAAACAGAACAAATGTACTCACACCTGGAAATGCTTTTGTTCTATTATTGGAATGACAATCCCAGGTAGCGAATTCTTCATTTCTGTTTTGGGAATAGTATTTGTGAGTTGTGAGTACTATTGTTCTATTATCGGAAAGACACTCCGGGTGCTAGAGTACTAAATATTTACAGTGGGTATAGTATGGACTAATGGACTGCACTTTGGCTCACGGCAAGTTTTGCTAACTGCACAGGAGCCTTCCGGCACACCTACGGTAAAATTTAGATTCGAAATATTATCGTAATAAATAAGATCGATCACAGATTCAAAGATTGGTATAATCCTTTAGAAGTCCGATCGGAGTCCGACCGTCGGAATAAATGGAGATTTCGACAATCGGAAGTTATCGGAAACGTGTGAGTATCCAGTTGTCGGATCCGATTGGAATTCTGTAACCCGGATTCCGATCGGATTTTTGTCGGATTTCGGGTCCGATCGGATCCGTCGTCGGATTTTTGGACCTGGGCGAGGCCATTACAGGTCGTGACAGAGAACCTCCAGACACCATCACAGACCGTGATGGTTAGACGAATCTATGATTCGACGAGCAACTTTCAGGCTAATCTAAGATTGGCCTAAATCCGATATTGGACGCTGACATATATAAAAGATTTATAGTTTCAAACCCGTGTACAATGATTAAGAAAGAAATTTCGAAATATTATAGATTGCACTCTAATAAATAAATTGATGCGACTGACAAAGTTGATACTTTTCTTTGTACGCTTTCAATTTTGATGACAAGAGAATTACTTAGGTACTACTCTTTGAAGCATTCAAGCATAATCAGAATGTGTAGAACTTTGCAGTATTCATGCGACTAGTTCTGAGAGATCAGCAGATTTTCCCTTAGATCTTTATATAATGAGCATATTGATGGGCAACAGAAAAGATTCTTAAAACATTTTATCCAGGTCCGACTGATGTATTTATAGTTTTCCCTAGTAATAAGCGACAAAAATTTCGATGCATAGCGGCGGAATATTTAAAAGAATATCCGAACATTTCCTATTAACAATGGAGAAGTTTTTGCTACCGTTTTAACTTTCGATTCTGTTCTTATATTATTCTGGGAACTTTTAATAATATCAAATTCAGGGTGATCCATAAGTCACCGGACAGTCTTTTATTTCGGATAACTTTTGATAGGAACAAGATATGGACTTGCGGTTTTCACTATTCCAAAGAGCAATGTTCGTACTATCGATCTATATAATATTCACTAAGATGAGAGATGCTTTTTCATAGAACCTTTTCAATTGACATCCGTTTTTTCTGTATATTTTCATAAATTTCCGCAATAATCTCGTCTCAAATTACGCAAAAACCTAGCTTTAATCACTCATTTTTCGTTATAAAATTATCACTTTATACATTATTTCATCGATATCTTTTTTCTAGTGAACTTCGAAAAAAAACTGATAATTTTATAATGAAAAATGGGCGATATTTAAGCTACATTTTTGCGTAATTTTAGACGAGATTATTGCGGAAATTTATGAAAATGTACAGAAAAAAATGATGTCAATTGAAAAGGTTCTATGAAAAAGCATCTCTCGTCTTAGTTAATATTATATAGATTGATAGTCCGAACATTGCTCTTTGGAATAGTGAAAACCGCAAGTCCATATCTTGTTCCTATTAAAAGTCATCCGAAATAAAAGACTGTCCGGTGACTTATGGATCACCCTGTAGTGTTCATACCTTTAAGGTAGACAACTCAAATTTCACTATCAAACCTTAATAAAATGTTGAAATTTGATGTTTCTAGATATTCTTCGATTTTCTTTTTAATTAATACCCTCATTGGTGATCAATGCGGCTATTAGGCCTTGTTCCCTACTCTATAGTTACCAACCTCCATCAGAAAATTGTTGAACACGATCATTTTCACAATCGACGACATAGAGATTACCATGTCGATCGAAGGACAAACCGACGGGATAGTTGAACTGATTTGCTCCTTCTCCTTGACCATTTCCACCCACAATGACAGTGCTCTGTTTCGCTTCTTTTGGCCAACGCATCACTCGATTATTCACCATGTCTGCCACATAGATGGTACCCAATGTATCGACGAACAGTCCTTGAGGATACGACAATTGTGTCAGAGCATTCCCTTCGCCTTGACCTCCAGCGACGACAATTCCTTCTTTTGCACCTTTATTCCATTTCATTACACGATGATTGTCCCTGTCCGACACGTAGACAGTCTGTTGTTGATCGACAAAGATGTAGTTCGGCCAGTTGAGTTGATTGAGACCAGCACCTTTGTCATTGCCACCAGCCACAAGAGTTCCATTCTTGTCTCCTATTTGATATCGTCTTACTTCATGTTTGTCGTTGTCAGAGATGTAGAGATATCTCTGATCATCCATGGCCAATCCATAACAAGCGATGTTGTCAATGAGAATTTCTCCTTGAGTTGTACCACTACGACGAGACCATCGTACGACTCGTTGATTCCTTCGATCACAAATAATGAGACTATCCGTCTCTTTGTCAAACAACACATCGGTTGGTCGATCCAATTGATCCCATCGATTTCCTTGGCCATGGCCACCAGCTACTACTTGTCCATTCGTATCATCCGCCTTCCATTGGATAATACGATGATTGCCGTAGTCAGCGATGACCATCGTTTGATCGTCATCAACGAAGAGACCATGAGGGCCCAAGAGTTGATTGGTGCCACTACCCCCTCCATGGCCTCCAGCAACGGTGACCCCATCTTGTTTCCATCGGGCATCGGCTGGAATATTGAGAATTACTACAATGAACAAAAAAGAAAAGAAATCGTCGTTATCGAAGGGATCCCATCTCTCGTGGGAGTAAGTGCTACAAATATGACATTCATCTTTGAGAATGCTCATTCCACAGATAAAAATTCAGAAGTCTTTTCCTAGTTTTCTATGAGAAAAAAAGAATTTGGTAATGATTCTTACATCTATGTTACTTCTAGCTCTTGCCAAGATCTTTTTGATCATAAAAATAACACCTGGAGATTGCTGTAAGGAGGTTCTCCAAGAAAGAGTAATACTAATTTGATGTAAGTTTTTGATAGAAAAACATAAGGATCTGAGGATTTTATTCAGAATTACAAGAATTCAGAATCTTTTTGGTAGAATGATCATTTATATGAACATCAGAGAAGATTCTATCTGTGTCTTGTGAGAAGAATATCGAATCGTTGAACAATAAAATATCAAACCTAATCCCTATGTTTTTTAGGAAACCTTAAGGATACATGATTTTCTGTGTGATGAATGTAGATCTGCTGAAGAATCTCCTAAGTATTTGCATAGAGAACGCCGGTGAAATTTTATAAGGCTTTTGATAAGTTATGTCAAGCTGTTCGAAGAATAACCGTGATGTACTCTGAGTAAGATCATGAGAAGGCTTGGATACAGGCGAAACTGAACAAAGTTGAGAGGATTCCACGCGAATCTATGTAATCTGAGAGGGCTTCTACTTTTGAAAATGCTGAAAAGATGAATGTCAATTCGAACGGAGCTCTCTAGTGACAAACATTAGGATATATGGATTTTATGGGCTTTGAAAAGAAAGTGTTCTAAAATGCTATTTTTAACTTTTGATGAACACCATCTTCAAACCATTGTATAAGGGTCCTCAAAGAGAATCTTGATGACTAAATAAGATACTTTGCCAAAACCTCAAAATCTAAAAATAATGAGTATCTTTTATGAGGATCATGCTATAATCCTTATGTAGTACTTGTTCTGAGAAGTTTTCTGTAAGCTCGCATGTTATGGATATGTTCAGGAGGATCTGAAGAGTAAGTATTTTGAAATGGTTGATATCAGAGTGAAAATGGAGTAGGAACAGGACAGAATGGAGGTGCCTATCTTTAAATTTTATGAGAAAGTTTATAAAGCAATAAATTAATATGCTACTAATTTATATCACTCGTAGATTTAATTATGTTCAAAAACTTATGTGTATTTAACCCTCGGATGCCCAAGCTAATTTTTGGAGATAATATGATAACATGTATTCATATTTCTATGATTTTGATTGGTGGACTGGTATTCTTGCCCAAATTAGATTGTTTTCCTCTTCAGTCTTGTAAAGTAATTATTAGAATTATAGTTTTCCTTTATTTAGAACAGTAAATACAAAAAATTCCCTGAACAAAGTGCTCATCACAAACCGATTCTGGAAGGATTTTCACTGAATTCTTCTGAACATAATGAATATCATAGGCACAAGGGCGGATATATATAATAGAAATCTCGGGACAATAATAATCTTCTCGAAGATTCTGAACAAGAATGTTGAAAATAGACTAGATGCGACGTCATGCACAAAAAGAATGCAAGAGAAAAGGAATATGCATGAGATGTAAAGTAGACAGGAAAGAAAAAAGAGAAATGCACTAGAAGAGATCAAAAAGAGACAGTAAAAATGGATGCATTTTTTTAAAGCTTTTGTCATATTCAGAATAAAAGATATCATTGGACATCTTATTAGATTCTGAGATTAAGAAATATATAAGAACAGAGTAAACGACTCTGATCTGATTTTATCTGACTAAATAGGATTCATAAACAAAAGAAAGTTATAGCATTACATAATCCAAGTCTTGTCTACTCTTATTTGATCCTGTGTGATCTATCATGCTCTTTTACTTATTTGAGAATTGTTGATTCAATAGTTTCTATTATGGAGAAATGTACAAAATACACAAAATTGTCCTGCCCAAGGCAATGTTTTCTATTAATGGAATCGTAAAATCATATTTGACTTCAAAAATAAATGCTTTGTATAATAGATTAGTCAAAGTACAGATATAACTCGGAAATTTTCACATAATAGAGAACGTTTTTCTTCACAAAATATTTCGACAGAAAAAATATCGATGTCGAAGTTTTTCTAACACTATCAGGAGATAAAAAATAAATTTTTTTTCTATGTATCCTCCACTATATACTGGAACTTATATTTTTTGTATTCCTTATTTTTCTATTTTGAAAACATACAACAAAATATTTTTATATTTGTTATTTGTCTATATATCCCCCTGGAAAAAAATAGTTAGACTCGGTATTTTCGATAGATTGTTACTATAAATTGACGTTTTGAGAAAAGTAATTATGTATTCGGATAGCCTGTGGAATTCTCTACAATTCCCTATGTATAAATTTTGAATTGCATTTGTTTCCTGGAAATAAATTCAAGAAGAATATATACTTAGTTTTGTAATAAATTGATTATCTATTGAAATAAATTTGAAAAAATCAATGAGATGTAAATTTTTGGGGGAATCTGGCAATAAGGATACCTTTAATATTCTTGAATTTATTTCCAGGAAACAAATGCAATTCAAAACTTATACATAGGGAGTTGTAGAGAATTCCACGGGCTATCCGAATATATAATTACTTTTTCCAAAATGTCAATTTATAGTAACAATATATCGAAAATACCGAGTCTAACTGTTTTTTTCCAGGGAGATATATATCACATGTAAATTATCATCCAAAATCGATTATACTTAATCGACATTCACTATCGTTCAATATCAAAGTAAAATAAATAACATAGTCGATATCAGTACAAAAACTACAACAGAACATACACTAATGCCTTTAGTTCATCAGGGATGCATCTTTCATGAATACTTTTCTTTAAGCTGTAATATCTCTGATTTGACGTATTTTTTATATTGATGTCAAATATACTATTCAATTTGATCTAACATAAAGCTAAGATAAAAAAAAATCGACGAAATACACCAATTCATTTTTCAAAGTTTCCTATGATTTTATGATTGAAATTTGAAACAATCTATTTTCTCAATACTAAAACAAAGTCGAAAAACTAAATGATATAGAGGCATTTCATGTTCGACGTTCAATGATTCTAATGAGAGATGACACTGAATCTAAACTCTTCTCATTCAAGAGAAACATGTATTTATAAAAATATCTATCGACATATGATTGTTTTCGTAAATGTCGAAATCCAACCCTTATTTTAAGTAGATATCTATACCTATCCACTAGTTGAACGATCTTTCCCTAAAATTTATGGTAGAATTACGTTGTCTGTCACATGATCTATATAAATATGTCCATAAAGTTATCAGCATATTCGAGTATTTTTAAAAAATATTCGATTCAGAAGTTGTCCTGGTCAAATAAATAACTGTCCTGAATGCAGAATTGAATTTCGGTTCGAATGGTCGTCTCAGATATCCAATAAAAAATCATATAGTGCCACAAAAAAAATTAAAATTACTTTTTATGCCCGAAAAATAGAGCTAAAACGCGGATTTCAGCATAATATTCAAAATACTACTTGTCCCACTAAAACAAATGACTGTCCTTGATAGAGAATTAAAGTCTAAATCGATTGATAGCCTCCGATTATTTCCAAAAAATCAGTAAGACTCTCAAAAAAATCAAATACTTTTCAATGAAAGATCTCCGGAGACCGAACATTAAAATATTGATGCAAAACGGTGTTCAGGTTGAACAAATAAGTGTCCCCGATAGAGAATTAGATTTTACATTGATTGATAGTTTCTCATTATTTCTTAAAAATCAGTAAGACCTTCGAACAAAGCAAATACTTCTAGATGGAAGATCTCCAGAGACCACGCATCATAATATTCACAAAGAAAGGTATTGTGGCAGAATAAAAAGATGTTCCTATTAGAGAATTAAATCCTACATCGATTGACTGTCTTTATATAGTTTCTAGAAATTAGTAAGATCTTGAGAAAATAGAATACATGTTGATCAATGATCACTAGATATTATAGGTCAACCTATTCTCAAAGAATTAGAAATGCAGGAAACTCATATTAGTTTTTAACAGAAGATAAGTGTCTCTATATACAACTAAAAAAAGGACTCCGTAGTGCATTGCATCTTGATATGCACTTTTAAATCAAAATAAATGAAATATGTATAATGAGCCTAGCGAGAAAATTTTTGCATCCACGACTACGAAAGCATAAACTGAGAAAAATCGAAAATCGTTTTTCATTTTATAGAAAAAATGTATACCTTTCAATAAAAATCAGCAAAATTTTTGAGGAAAAAGCACGTATTAAACTAAAAAAAACATGTCATCTATTAAAGAACGAACTTCGGATGTCCCACTATGCATCTATCTCAATTTCGATGATTCTGACGAAAATGGAATCTTTTTAAGGGGAAGCTTAAGAAAATTTCTATGAAGACTTGATATTCATATAAATGTGAAAAGAATCTTTAGAAAATTGTACAAGTATCCATATAGAAAATAGAATTGCGACAATGTTTCATATTTAGAACTTCTAAGATCTTAGACTATATAAACTGATGTCAGTCTATCTCAGTGTCCTAGTCTGCCGTCAGGATGCCCGTCTGGTTTTGAATACTGTTGGATTGGATGTTCGAATCTATCTTTCATCTTCTTTTTTTACTCTTCGGACTAGCCTGGACCGGTTCAAAGGACAAAGTGGACTAGACATGACTGGGTTCAAGGACTTTCTGGATTAGTCCAGACGTGTTTGAAGGACATTTCTCTAAAAGGTGACTAGTCATGACGGGTGTGCAAGACGTTTTAGACTAGACCTGACGGGTGTTGCGGACAATTCGGACTAATCATCGCGCCCGTCTTTAAAATT